CAACCAGCGTGGTAGCATTTCAGAGTAATCCCCTACCTGAGGAGCTGGCATTGCCTCGGGCACCTGTTCTAATCCCGGCAGCTCCACTTCCCACCCAGCTCCCTGCCTGTGGCCTGGGAAAGCAGTGGAGGACGGCCCACAGCCTTGGGACCCTGCACCTGCGCATGGGAGACCTGGAAGAGGCTCCTGGCTCCACAGGCCGAGGGTTCTCGTGTCTGTGGGTGGGCGGGTGGCTCCGCACGGCTGCTGACGGGAGTGGGAGAATGTTCTGGAAGCAGCCGGCAGCCTGGATGTCGGTAATGTACTTAAATGTGGGCTCACTGGCTGTCGCCTCGCTCCCCCCTTTGCAAGGGCTTGGCCCGTGGGCGGCCACGTCTCAGTGGTCAGTGCCTGGGGATGACTTTGTGGGTAGGGGTGACAGTGAAGCCGGTGCAGGGTCCTACCTCCCCCCCACCACAGGACGAGGGCTGAGCCCAGGCTGCGTGGGGCGCCTGCGCACCCGAGTCCTTCCCAGACTCTCCAGGGTCCCGCTCTTTCGATATGCTGTGTGGGACTGCCATAGGACCGGGCCACCAGTCCCTCCGCGTGCCCACTCCCGTGGCCCGGCCCCTGCTTCCCCGGAGCCTTCTGGGAAGCCGTGGAGGTGCAGCCTGTCGGACCTGCTGTCCTACTAAGCGACAAGCCCATCCTGCAGAGTGACCGCGGGCTCCATGCGCTTCCGTGCAGTGGACTCTGTAAGGGGCACAGGCTGTCGGAGTGGAAGTGAGGGGTGAAGGGCATCGCGGAGAGTGCCCCCAGACCCCTCCTCCTCCATGCCCACCCCACCTCACAGCCTGGAAGGCAGGGGGTGATAGCCAAGCACTTGCTACCTGAACCCCTGTGGGCGACCTGGTGCCCTCAGGCCGCTCCTCCTGACCCCAGGCCCCTTCTGACACCCCCAGACCCCTCCTGCTCCCCCTGACCCCTCCTGCTCCCCCAGACCCCTCCTCCTGACCCCAGACCCCTCCTCCTGACCCCAGACCCCTCCTCCTGACCCCAGACCCTTCCTGCCTCCCCCAGACCCCTCCTCCCGACCCCAGGCCCCTCCTGACGCCCCCAGACCCCTCCTCCCGACCCCAGGCCCCTCCTGCTCCCCCAGGCCCCTCCTGACGCCCCCAGACCCCTCCTCCAGACCCCAGGCCCCTCCTGATTGCCCCTAGACCCCTCCTGACGCCCCCAGACCCCTCCTCCCGACCCCAGGCCCCTCCTGTGCCCCTCTCTCTGGCCAGGTGCTGCTGCAGGATTCCAAGCGGCCATATCTGACCCGTGCGCTCCCCCCGGTGGCCAAAGCTGGCAGAGCCCCGTGGATGTGTCCGCAGGGGAGGGCCCTGTCCTGGCCGGCGTGCTCTGGACCTTGGGGGCACCGCGGTGACCACCTGGGGGGCGGGACGCTGGTTTTGAGTCCGACGGGGAGCCAAGCAAATGCGGGGCAAATGAGCCATGCATGCGGTGTTGAGCTGGAGCAGCTGGAGGGGGCGGTGGGCACGACACTGGCGATGTTAATGTGGCAGAGGACCTGTGTGCAGCAAGGGGGCTGGAGGGGAGGGCAGGGCCAGCACGGGTAGGGGGACGTCCAGCTTTACTAGTCCTACACACACACGCACACACACACGCACGCACACTGCCGATACACACACAGTGCACGGACACGGCCGTCTTTGCCCGCCTTCTGTTGCCGGGAAAGCCGAGGGCGCAGCTGGCGCCATCTCCTGCCGAGAGCCTCTTAGCACGGCCACGCAGCAAGGACACCATCAGGCAGGTGCAGGCAGGGCCCGGCGGGGCGAGCGACCACCAGGACCCTCCCATGACCCTGGTGTGGCTCGATTGGCTAATTCTCCCCTTCACGTGCTAGGATCCCATATTGGGCACCGGTTCAAGTCCCGGCTGTCCCACTTGCCACCCAGCTCCCTGCCTGTGGCCTGGGAAAGCAGTGGAGGACGGCCCAGAGCCTTGGGACTCTGCATCCACTTGGGGGACCCGGAAGAAGGTCCTGGCTTCAGATTGGCTCAGCTCTTGGCCATTGTGGCTACTCGGGGAGAAAGAAATCCTTTTGAAACATGATTGGAGCTGGCTCCCTTGGGGAGGGACGCTCAGCCAGCTTCTGGGATCACCCGATCCTGGAGGCCAGGGTTTTTGAGCAGCAGGCCAAAGGTGCCCGGCAAACCCCCTTGGGGCCACTGGGGACGTAGCCTCACAGTTAGAGGGTCCTGATTTACAGGGGGTGATGGGATCGCACGGGTGGCAGTGGGAGATGACCTGTGGTTTTTATGCCCAGGTTGGGAATCACAGTTGAGGGGCTTCATGGACAAGCACAGGACGTGTGTGTGTGTGGGACGCACACCGAGGGGTTGGAGGGGAGAACGAGAGAGAAGTCGGTATGTTAGCAGAATCCGTGGGGGCAATGTGGGCTCACCCCTGTGGAACTGCAGTGTGCTGGCTCCTCCCAGAATTGCAGATGGGGTCAGGCCTTGCTGGGGAGCTCAGGGGGTGCCCCAGCTGGGTTGGGGTTCCCACTGGTGAGAATGGGTAGGAATGCGTGCAGCAGGCATGGCTGTACATGGCTACAGACTACCGGTGTGGGTGTGCCCTGGGATGGTGGGGCGTCAGACGGGGCTTGACTCCAGCCCCCACTGGTACTGGTGAGAGCCAGTCTGGGTGTAGAACAGGCAAGACTAGGTCTTGATTCCCACTCAACTATGTGAAAGCTGTGTCTGGGCGCGGATCAGGTGTCTCTGACAAGATCCAGAATGGGTGTGGCCGGCTGAGCAAGGCCACTGTTCTCGCGAGGGCAGGAGGTGGACAAAGTGAACCTGGCCAGCGACCCACTGGTGTGAGAACGGTCACTGGGACGAGGCTCGATGGAGGAGCCTGGGAACTCCCTCATCGGGACGCTGTCCCTGCAGGAGAGCAAGAAGCAAGGCAAGGCGCAGCCCAGACCATGCTGGGCTACAGTACCCCGGCACAGATGTGGGTCAGATGTGCTGGTCAGATGCGGGCTGGGCTGCACTGGGCTGGGCTGGAGCTGGGCCGGGGTGGGCTGGAGCTGGGTTGGAGCTGGGCTGGGCTGGGCTGGGCTGGGCAGGGCTGGGCTGGGCCGGGCTGGGGCTGGGCCGGGCTGGGCAGGGCTGGGCTGGGCTGGAGCTGGGCCAGGCTGGGCTGGGCTGGAGCTGGGCCGGGCTGGGCAGGGCTGGGCTGGGCTGGAGCTGGGCCGGGCTTGGCTGAGCTGGGCTGGAGCTGGGCTGGGCAGGGCTGGGCTGGGCTGGGCTGGGCAGGGTTGGGCCGGGCTGGAGCTGGGCCGGGCAGGGCAGGGCTGGGCTGGGCTGGAGCTGGGTTGGGCTGGGCCGGGCCGGGCTGGAGCTGGGCCGGGCTGGGCTGGGCTGGGCAGGGCCGGGCTGGAGCTGGGCCGGGCTGGAGCTGGGCTGGGCTGGGCTGGGAGCTTCACTGGGGTCTGCCAGGACCTTGAGCCGTGTTCTGCTGCCCCCCCCAGGTGTTTTACTTGGGAGCTGGAAGGGCAGTGGAGCAGCTGGGACTCGAGTCAGCGCTCTGACACTGGTGGCTTCACATGCCAGCCCTGCCACCAGCATGATCCTGATGCCACCGGAGGCCCTGGCAGGCACCTGGCCAATGCAGGGCCAGTGTCTACGGTCCTTCCAAACCTGGCTACGTAAGCAGCCTTTGCGCATGAGCAGCCCACATTAGCTGTTAGGTTACAGTGGGAACCAGCCACCACACCTCCCCTCAGGATGGTGCGTCTGACACGTGCGACACGCATGAATCTCAGGTCTAGATTTGGGGCGCCTGCCTAGGACTCCTCCCTAAGCGTCCACCAGATGCCACCAGAGCCGCCTGCCAGCGGGTAAGGGCCTCTCGGCTGCAGAGTGCCCGGCCTCTACTGCTCAGGCCAGGAGCCTGGCACGCAGCCCTGGGAACGGGTGCACAGAGGGCAGAGGCCTGCGCAGCCACGCTCTGACCCTGCATGACCCCTGGCAGCTGGTGGTGCACCTGAAGCCAGGGGAAGGCCACGACCTGCAGGGGGCTGCCTGCGTGGTCCCTGCCGCACACCCTCCCTCCTGACACTCCTGGAACCCCTCCCTGGAAGCCCGCATCACTTCCACCGCATCAACTCCTGGAGCCTTCCCTGCAATGTCCCCACTCCCTGTGCCGGCCCTGTGATGGCTGTGGGAGGCTCGCTCTTCTGAGCTGCACCTCCTCGTGGCCTGCAAGGTCCTGTCACCCACGTACCTGCTGAGTCAAGCCAATGGACGGCCCCCAAGGACCTCGGCTCCCCCATGTCTCCCACCCCGGCTCCCCACAGCTGGCTCCCCCGTGTCTCCCACCCCGGCTCCCCACAGCTGGCTCCCCCGTGTCTCCCACCCTGGCTCCCCACAGCCCACTCCCTTCTATTTCCCTGACTTGCCAGAGCCCCCGGGCCTGGGCCACCACTAGCCCTCCAGCCCACATGCCTGACTTCCCGACAGCACATCTGGCTGTGTCTGTTGCCATCCGCAGTGAGGCGGCTCCAGGTCACGCAGTCTAACCCAGTGCAAGCTGTAAACCCTCAGGCTCACTGCTAGCATGGCTGGGGGTGGGGGGGAGAGTGTGGTGCCAGCCTAGGGGCATGCTGAAGATGGCAAGAGGGTCTGCTGTAGGTGAGGCACGGCTTGCCCCTGCTGGAGGGGTGGAACAGCCCTGGGGTGGCAGGGAGAGGGTGTGTGCAGAGGAGCGCAGGGCACAAAGTGAGGTCCCGATACCCAGTTGGCCACTATGACTATTGTGCAAGGGAGCTGTCATGGGCCGAGGGGTGACGGGACCAGCCATGGCCGCCCCACTGGGCAGGGAAGCTGCACGCAGGTCCGGGTGGCAGGCACCTGGGCCCCAGCTGGTAGCTGAGGGAGTGTTGGCACGGTGGGGTGCTCGCAGCAGCGGGTGCTGTGTGGCATGGGACAGAGGCAGGCGGCACGTCTCACAAAGGGAGTTTAATGGAACTGGTCGACACACGGGGGCAGGGGGCCAGGCTCAGCGGGGAGGGCACAGCCCCCCAGTGCTGGACCCCTCACCCCGCGGGAACACTGACGTGGTTGAGGGGCAGCATTGCGGGGCCCAGGTGGTCCCTGGGAGGAAAGTGAGGGAGGTCCCCCAGTGCCGTGGGCATGGCAGCAACCAACCCAGCAATGCCCACACGGGCACGTAAGTCCAACAGAGCAGCCCGGCAGGCAGAAGTCGGGGTTCCCCAGCCCGGGGCTCTCTCAGACTGGAAGGCCCCTGCTGGGCAGGGCAGGCGCTGGACAGCAACGTCCCTGGGGGAGCGGGGGCAGCCCAGAGTTCAGGGAGCAAGCACCTTCCTCGAGGTGGGCTTGGCAGCTGTGTCCCCCCTGGCGCTTCCAGGCCAGGGCGGGGGCGTTGGCGCGGGGGTCTCTCACTGCGTGCGGAGTTGGTAATCTAGGATGTAGAGCAATGGGGTGGTCAGCACGCCCCCCTCCCCTCCCGGCCGCCCCCCAAGGCCCACACTCACCTCCGTTCTGGGTGATGTACCGCACCCAGGGCAGGGCCTGGTAGCCGCTCTTCTCAATGATCTTCAGGTAGCGTACCTGGGCACAGCGCTTTCCTGAGCACCTGCCGCCCGGCTCTCCGGGCTGACCCCAGCGGAAGGCGTGCTGCACCCCAGCCTTCCTGAGGGCCCCTGCCACGGGCCAAGGAAGGGCAGGGCCCAGCAGCACCAAGCTGCTGGGCAAGCAGAATGGCACGCCTGGGAGCTAGGGGGCTGGGAGGTGCCAGGAGCCTGCCCTCCTGCCCGGGTCCCCAGCGCTGGCCATGCCGAGTCCACCCCTGGAGCCTGCCCTCCTGCCCGGGCCCCCAGCGCTGGCCATGCCTACCTGGATACCAGAGGTAGTGAAGTAGGGGATTTCAAACTTGACACTGATGGGCGGCTTGCCCTCCTTGTCCTCAGCCTCCACACTGGGCAGGCCGAAGTGGGCCCGCATCAGGTACTCCTTGCCGCCCTGCGGAACAGACCCAACGGGCCAAGGGGATGCCGGTCAGGGGGGCCCGGTCCCCAGCGACCCCTAGGAGCCAAAAGTTTGTCCTGTGCGGTCTGCTGTCACCCTGTCCCCCAACTCGCAATGCCTGATGGACCATGCCTGCGCACGGGCTGCAAATGTGCTGTCAGAGGCCGTCAGGAGACATTCGCCCAAAGCAAGGGGGACAGAAGACAGGCGGCCAGGCTCGGGGCAGGGGGAAACCCAGAAGGGAGAGCAGGCTGTGGTGGTGGGTGCGGGAGGGCACTGCCTGCCCCCAGCCCCAGCGGCTGGCCTGCTGTGCTTGCAACACGTGCCCTGGAAGCCTGTGCCGGAAGCCTTGTGCCTGCAGTCCAGGGTGACCCAAACTTGCAGGAGGTGAAGCCGGGACAGCCAGGAGGGTAGGCCTGGTGGCGGGAGCAGCCGTCACGCCTGCTGTCCTCTCACGGCACGCTCGCCACACCCAGTGCAGGCCCTGGTGGCCTCCATGCCTGACACATAGCCTGGCAGCAGCTGACATGGCCCCTGGCCCACACTGCCGGCCCGGGGGGTGGGGGGGGCTCTGGGCTGGAGCAGTCCCCCCACAAGATGGATGAAAAGACCCACTTAGCACACTGTGGGGCTTCAATGCCGTCTCATGGGACCACCCCAAGCCGCAGGTGTGCTGGGGTCTCCTGGTGGGGCACCTATCCCTGCGAGGAGGCCCTTGGAGCTGCTCCCACTCGTGTTCTGGGCAAGCCTCAACCAGCATGGGGTGCTGGCCAGCAGGGCCCTCCCATGGGCGCAGTGGGGACGAGGTGGGGGAGGTGGGCGGCCCCAGCAGCTCTCACGTGGAGAGTGAGAAGTGCAGCGGACAGAAGCGGGGGGCGTGGGCGGTGTGTGGGGGGCTGTGGGCGGGACGGGCGGGGCTGTCCCGGAGATAAGGCCAGACCCACTGGAGCGGGGCTGCATGCATGGACAGAGAGGAAATGCAGAAATAGCCCGTGGGCATCTGAGACGCGCCTGGCAGGAGCAGGGCTCTCAGCGGACAAGGTGGGCAGTGAGCAGAGCCCCTTGCTAGGACAGCCCCTGGCAGCTAGCCGCGACCTGACCAGCCCAGACGACGGTCCCAGCGGGCTGGGCTCCAAGCAGAGTGTCGCTGAGCAGCTTCTCGGGACCCAGGTGGAGTCTTAGGGCTGGGATTAGAAAGCAATTCTTTTTTAGGGCTGATTGTTTAGGCAGAGTTAGAGGGAACGAGGCAGGGAGAGGGAGAGAGAAGCATTCTCCATGAGCCGGTTCATGCCTGCAACAGTCACGGCTGGGCCAGGCCTCAGCCAGGAGCCGGAAGCTCCATCTGGGTCTCCCACGTGGGTGCAGGGGCCCAAGCACCTGGGCCTTCACTGCCTTCCAGGCGCGTGGGCAGGGAGCTGACGGGCAATGGCACTGGCGTGGGACGCACGTGTGTCAGACAAGAGTGTAACTTCCTGTGCCACAGCGGCCACCTCGCTGGGACAGGAGTGCGCCCAACGGGCCAAGCTGCCTCGCACAGCCCCCCGGCCCACAGCAGAGCACGGGTCTAAGGCTGGCTGCCCCGCTTCCCACGCAGCTCCCTGCTAACGTGCCGAGAAGCCGCCCAGGAGGGCCACAGGCTCAGACCATGATGAAGGCGAGGTGGACGGAGCTCCTGCCTCCACGCAGCCGGTGCGGCCACCTGAGAGCTGGAGGGAAAGACCGAGCAGTGAGCTTCGATCAGACCCGATCCGTCGCCACGCAGAGCAGCAGCTGGGACATCATCCCGTGCCCTGGGCATCAAACGGGCAAGCCGCAGGCAGCGCGCCCCACGGAGAAAGTGCCAGCCAGGTCCAGACACAGGGGCGCTGGGGAACGAAATGAGCACCTCGGGCGGGAAAGTGAGTCAGAGGCAGCTGCAGTTTCCAGAAAAAGAAATGCAAATGGCCCCCACCTTGTTGACAACAAGACAGACGCAAATGAGCCCGGCACAGACGGCACCCCACTCACGGTCCCCCATCCCAGACGGCACCCCCACTCACGGTCCCCCATCCCAGACGGCACCCCCACTCACGGTCCCCCATCCCAGACGGCACCCCCACTCACGGTCCCCCAGCCCAGACGGCACCCCCACTCACGGTCCCCCAGCCCAGACGGCAGCCCCACTCATGGTCCCCCATCCCACAGACGGCACCCCTACTCACGGTCCCCCATCCCACAGCCCACAGACAGCACCCCCACTCACGGTCCCCCATCCCACAGCCCACGTCCTGGAGCCTGCCCTGCAGCACACCTTCCGGAGCACAGACCCGACAGGCTCTCTAGGAACTACGGCCACGGGGGGACTGCACGTCCCTGGGTGGGGACTGACTGACAGGGATGGAGTGAGTGCAGTGAACACGCCACGGCCGTGGGTAGCTGCAGCGGGGTCCCGGTGCGGGGCCTGACCCTGCTCCTGGGGCTCACATCCCTCCGAGGGTGCCCGCACAGCACATCTGCTGGCCACATGCCATCCTCCACTTAAACCTGCCCTGCTGGACATGACTGACATCTGACTTGCGCCCAGGCCTGCCTCCACAGCTTCAGACCCAACCATCCCGTGGGCTGCTACAGCCGCGGGCAGGACCCGCCCCATGCCTCTGCCAGGGTGCTGGTGAGGCCTCAGCGGAGAGGCGCCTGCAGTGACTTCTGGCTCCTGACTGAGCTGGCCCAGCCCTGGCCTTGCCACCGCTTGGGGAAGATTGCTGTCTGCCTGACAACCCACGCGTGGAGGCCTAAGGGACAAGAGGAGGCAGGGAAGCTGTGCACCTGCACTCCCTGGCCAGTCACTTGGTCGTGTCCCGATAAACCGCCAGAAGCTGTGGACACACTCAGTGGGTGACGTGCGCCGAGGCAGCGCCCCGAAGCTGTGGGGCCCAGCCCAGCCACATGGCACCCTGCAGGGCAGCTGCTCCCCCCAGCATGCTGGCGCTGACCGGGATGTGCCACCACTGCCCTGGGCATCAGAGAGAGCCGGCGTACAGTCCCCAGACCCACGTCCCTCCTCCCCAGGCGACCTTCCCCCTGTGTGACGCCCTTGGAGGCAGGCCACCCTAACTCCGCTGTGCCCCACACTGCGCGAGCGGGAAGCAGCGGCAGACCCCTGCCAGGCCCTGTGGCTCCTGCCAGGCGGCGGGCACTCACCGGAAAGGACTTAATGGACCACACGATCTCACTGTTCTCGGGCACCCACTTGACGCTGCCCACCGTCGTCTTGAACTTGGGCGAGTCGGCGTCGTTGGGCACAGGGATGTGGATCTCCACGTTGTTGGCCGTGGAGCGCCGCTTGAACTGGCTCTTGGCCTGCGGACACAGGCGGGAGTGGGGGTTCCTGCGTGCCCGAGACCCGGCCCACGGCCTCTGTGCTGTCCCCAGGGCTGGCCCGGGTTGCACAGGGTCAGGAGGGCCCTGCCGTGGCAGCGCCTTCAGGAAGCATTCCCGGAGGCCTGGGTGTGACCCCTCCCTGACAGCGCGGCCTGCTCAGGATGGACGGACAGCAGCCTAGCCCAGCTCACAGCCCTGTCAGCAGGAAGCACCACGTAGCTCCACCCCTGGCTCATAGCCCTGTGCCCAGGGCCTGCAGCAGGCAGCGCCAGGCAGCCCCTGCCCCATAGGTGGGGTATGCTTAGCACAGGCAGATGACAGCCCAGCCCCTGGCCCCTGCCCCATGCAGTGGGCAGACCCAGCTCACGGCCCCTGCCCCATGCAGTGGGCAGCCCCGGCTCACGGCCCACTGCCCCGAGCAGCCCCGGCCCCTGCCCCCTGCCCCGAGCAGCCCCGGCTCACGGCCCACGGCCCCTGCCCCGAGCAGCCCCGGCCCACGGCCCCTGCCCCGAGCAGCCCCGGCCCCTGCCCCCTGCCCCGAGCAGCCCCGGCCCACGGCCCCTGCCCCGAGCAGCCCCTGCCCCCTGCCCCGAGCAGCCCCTGCCCCCTACCCCGAGCAGCCCCCTGCCCCGAGCAGCCCCGCGTGGCCCTCGTCCTGGACTTCACCTTGATCATGTACTCGATGCGGCTGTGGGAATGCTTCTCAATCACAGACTCGATCCATATCAGGGGCTTCACCTGCGGGCGAGGGGAGCTGGGCTCACGCCTGGGCACCAGCGCAGGCCCCTGCACAGAGGGCACGCTGCGGCCAGCGGCGGGGCTGGGGCGTCCCTGGGGCCGCTCACGTGGGTGTTGAGGCGGTAGGACATGAGCTCGAACTCGCCGTCCGGGGGGATGAAGGAGATGGTACGGTCGTTCTCGAAGCGCGAGAGCCGCACGCACTGGTGGAACTTCACGTCCTCCAGCTCCACAGACTTGCTCTTGCCGCCTGGGGGGAAGGCGGGGTGCAGGGCGTGAGCCCCGACCCGGCTCCCCCGCCTGCAGAGCCCCCCACTTGCCGGAGATCAGGGTGCAGGGCGTGAGCCCCAACCCGGCTCCCCCACCAACAGAACAGAGCCCCCCACTTGCCGGAGATCAGGGTGCAGGGCATGAGCCCCGACCCGGCTCCCCTGCCAACAGAGCAGAGCCCCCCACTTGCCGGAGATCAGGGTGCAGGGCGTGAGCCCCGGTCCGGCTCCCCCGCCTGCAGAGCCCCCCACTTGCCGGAGATCAGGGTGCAGGGCGTGAGTCCCGGTCCGGCTCCCCCGCCTGCAGAGCCCCCCACTTGCCGGAGATCAGGGTGCAGGGCGTGAGCCCCAACCCGGCTCCCCCGCCTGCAGAGCAGAGCCCCCCACTTGCCCGAGATCAGGGAGCAGGGTGTGAGCCCCAACCCGGCTCCCCCGCCTGCAGAGCCCCCCACTTGCCGGAGATCAGGGTGCAGGGCACGGTGGCCTGGCCTGCTCAGAGCCTCCCACAGGCAGCTCATGTTGGACTCAGATTTAACTGGGGTGAACCTTAGGGCTCCTGGAGGGCCCAGGCCGCACCACCCCGTCGCTCCTGTGTCCTGTCTCCCACCACGGGCTGACCGGCAGTCGGGACAGCCACACTAATGCCTTCAGGCCTGAGAGGCCCTCGCCCAGCCAGGCCTGGGCACTGGGGCCGCAGCCCTCTGCTGGCAGGCCTGAGAAAGCTGGCGCCACTAGGCTGGAGCCACTCTATCCTGCCCTACCCAGGGTGGCACAGGCCAACCTATGGGTGGCCTGCACGCAGCCCAGGCCCAGGGCCCCAGGGGTGACACAGGTGGGGTCCCCACAGGCTGGCAGCTGGCAAGGGTACTCACGGCCCGTGTTGTCGAAGAGCACCTTGTCGTTGAGGCCCAGGCGCAGCTCTGGCATCCCCGACAGGAAGACCCGCATCTTGATGGAGCCCACGATCTCGCTGCGTAGCACGTTGCCGTTGGCGCTGACCTAGGGGCAGGCTGGGGTGAGGAGCGGCCCACCCCGCACCCCTGCACACCCACAGCCCTCCCGGTTGGCCACTGCTCCACTCCCCCACCCGCCCAGCCTCCCACGGGCCTGTGGACAGCTCCCCCGGGACCCAGCTGCATGCGAAGCTGGCCTAAGGGCTCCGGGTGCTTCGGCAGCCCTCTCCCCACAGCTGGTCCTGGGAAGGCGAGTGCCGGGCTAGGTGCAGGCCAGAATTTCCCTTCCTGCGAATCTGCTTTTCTTGGGACTGGGGAGGACCTGGAGGGGCTCCTGGGGCTCCTGAAGACCACCTCAACCACAGGCCGACAGCTCCCTGGGCAGAGGATCCCCCCAGGCCCTAGCAGAACAAGCAGGGTGCAGCTGAGACAAATGAGGAAACGCCACAGGGTGTGCTCCAACCCAGGAGCCCAGAGCCCAGGCCCTGCGCCCAACCCCTGCCACGAGGGTATGGAGGGCCCACCCTGGCCTGCAGCTGCCGGTGCCCAGACAGCCCTGAGCAGGCACAGCACAAGGCCTGTGGGGTCTGCTTCTGCCTGGCCCCCAGGAAGGAGAGCCATGACCTCCTGGCTCTTGGGTGCCCCTTCAGAAAGGGGCTCGCTGCTGTGTTCACACAGGAGGCAGCGGCTGGGCCTTCAGGCTGGGTGCATGGGATGAGGGATGCTCGCCCAGCGGCGCTCCAGGGCCGGGTGCAGTGACACCCCACCAGCCACACTGAGGGCCCCCACCGTGCAGCCTGAGGCATCTCTCCCCTTCCAGGTGGAATTCTGGGCTGCCCCCTCAGCACTCAGACCCTGGTGCCAGCTGGGTGTGGAGGGCACAGGAGGGCTTACAGCCGAGGACTGTGTGGCCCCCACGCTCCCAAAGCTGCTCCCCGGGACTGGCCCTTCACCTCAGAGCCCTGGAGGAGCTGGATGGGAAGTGCCGGCCCCACAGCCAGGGACATGCTTGGTGACAAGTTGATGGGTGGGCCAAGCTGGTCCCACCCTCCTTGGCTGCTGTTGCTGTGTGAAGCTGTCCTCTAACCACATACTGCAGGAGACGTGCTGCCCTGCGATCCGTCCCTGTGCGTCCCTTGAACTGACTGCTGCCTCCCGGGGCTGCTGTCACACACGCTGCTGTGTGGCTTGTGGCCACGTCGCGTCACACACACACACACACACGTTCACCGACTGAAAAACCCAGTACAATACAACATCAAACTTCACCAAACTGACTTACAGACTTACAATGCCACCACTCAAACCCAGCTGGACCACTCCACGTGGACACAAGCAGACCCTGCCCTGGCCGCAAGGGCCTGAGCCGTCCTGCTCCCTGGCCAGACACGATCTGTGCCCATGCGTGCACCTGCACATGCCATGTGCACAGCTGCCTTCCCAGCCGAGGGCACGTCCCCTGATGGGTGCTGGGATGGACAGCCACCAGAACCCGGCAGGCCGCAGCTGACAGCTCGGCTCACAAGGACCCAACACTGCACTCACACAACCGCCTCACGGTGACAAAACCAAAGCAGGCAGATGGCGGGTGCAGGGAGGGGAGTGGCCCGCAACGGGGTGCCAGAGGGCCACATGGGGCAGGCCTGCTCACCAGAGGCACGCCAGACCCGACAGCCAGCGGCAAGGGGTGCACACGGGGTGCCCCAGCGTGTGTGCGTTGGCTGCGCTTACCAGCAGGTTCACAGACTCGATAACGTCCAGGAACACCTCGTTCTTCCGGTACTTGATGCCTTCCGACCGCCAGGACACGGCGTTGGTGACAGTGGCGGGGGGCCGGGGCGCACCTGTTTCCAGCTTGTGGCCTTCCTGCGTGATGTACCTGCGGGGCCACCAACCTTAGTGAGGGAGAGAGCAGGGGCGCCAACACCACAGCATCGAGCCAATTCTCAGCTGGGCTGGAGCGGGTGGGGAGCCGGCCTGCCGTCGTCTCCTGGGCTCCCCGGCACCTGTTCCCGCACGGCTGTGTCACACACAAGGCCGTCTCGATGACTTCTAAAGGGAAGCTGGCACCATGACGGGGCTGCAGTGCCCAGCTCTGGGATGAGGGGTCAGGACTGAGGATGAGGTGGGCCTTGGCTGCTCCCCCGCCCCCGGGGGGGTGGCCACATGGCCCGACTGTTGGGCACAGCAGATGCAGTGCCAGGGACGTGGGCTTCTCTGAGTGCCCAGTGGGACGATGGCATCCTAGGCTGTGAAAGGAGTGCCAAGTGCTTGCTGCTGGCCAGACTCCCACCCAGGCCACACTCCGCCCCAGTCCTTATCTGATGGGCAGGACCAGAAGGGGCAGACACGGCCTGTGGGAGCAGCAGTAGCACAGGCGGGGGCGCCCCTGAGCAAGGGACACCACAGTCCACGTGGACAGAAGGGGACCCCCTGTCACCCGGGAATTCAGTCTACGTGGGCAGATGGGGACCCCGTCACCCGGGAATTCACAGTCTACGTGGGCAGATGGGGACCCCGTCACCCAGGAATTCACAGTCCACGTGGGCAGAAGGGACCCCCTGTCACCTGGGAATTCACAGTCCACGTGGGCAGAAGGGGACCCCCTGTCACCCTGGAATTCATAGTCCACGTGGGCAGAAGGGGACCCCCTGTCACCCGGGAATTCAGTCTACGTGGGCAGAAGGGGACCCCTCGTCACCCGGGAATTCACACTCCACGTGGGCAGAGGGGGGACTGTCCTATCACCCAGGAAAGCTGGATGGATGAGACACGGATCCCAGGCCCTGGAGAGCAACTTGGGACAGGCTCGGGAGGATGGGGCATGGCGCCAGCGGGTGGAGGCGGCCCCGCCCACACCCCACACTCACTCCTGCAGGATCTTGCTGTCGGTGGTCTGCGGGTAGCCGAAGTCCATGAGCTCGTCCAGCAGCTCGTAGATGATGACGAAGTTGTCGCGGATGCTCTCCTCCTCCAGCTCCTTGAAGTACTCAGAGAACACCTGTGCCGAAGCCAGGGACCGGGAGCCACTCGGGTGAGCTCCAGCCACATTTCCCGTGACCTTGGTGGGGTCCCCAGACCCCCCGACAGCTCCACACACTGAACGGGCTGTGAGAGGCATCGGGAAGGGACACCACAGGCGGTGCCAAGCCAGAGCTGGAGGGCGTCCCTGCTCAGCCCACGTCAGGCTGCCCAGCTCCCCTGGACTGCATGGGTGGAGCCCGCTGAGGGATGCCAGAGGCCTGGCCCCCAACTTAGATCGCACAGCCCCCTTTGGCCAGACCCCCAGCCCTCTGCCCCCGGTCCCTCTCAGCCAGCATCCCTGCGGCCTTCAAGTTCTCTGACAGTCAGCAGCGGCTTCCAATCCAGCAGGCCTTCCGCGTCCCGCCTAGCGCTCTCCCCGGGCAGCCTGCAGGCCCAGCGCTGCCCGCCATGTCGCCCACCGCGCCGCCCACCTCGCTGCCCACGGCCACGCTGTTCCAACCGTACTCACACACACACGCCGTACATGCAACACACACATATACACCACACTGGCACACACCATACACATATACACACTCACACTCACACACACACAGACACACTTCTGCACTTGCACACCGCCTCACCCTCCTGCAGGCGGGCAGCTTCCCGTCTGTTGTGGACCTCAGGCAGCAGCCTTGAGAGCGCCCTGGGGACGGTCACTGCCCAGCCCTGTGGCCGGCGGGGGGCACACTCCTGCCCTGAGTCCACGCTGCCCCTCACGGAGACCAGAGAGTGCCAGGCAGGACGGCCAGGGCACGCCGGGGGCACTCACCTGCACCACCTTGTACAGGAAGGAGAAGACGAGAGACACGCATGCATTTTTCTTGGAGGTGGCGACCACTGCGCTGCGGTCAAGGAGTCCTCAGAGACTGCGAGCCCCAAGGCCTGCCCACCCCGGCTGGCACTGCTGGCCCCTCACAGGGCTCCTCCCAGGAGCAGAGCGGGTGCAGCCAGCCCTGTCCACCCACTGAGCAGGACTCACCCCAGTTCTGCGGCTCCGCCCGCAGCCCTCGCAGCGGGGTGTGCGTCCCTGTAGCAAACCCTCTGAGCGAAGCCTCCATCTCCCCGCTCAGCGGGAAGCTGTGTAAGGACTTCCCGGGGTGCTATGCTAAGGCAGCTGGCACAGGCCCAGCCCCCGCCGGGGTCGCCAGCCCCTGCCCCACAGGGTCCCCAGAAGCGGAGTACTTTCTGTTCCGGGTCCCTTGCTGCATCCGGGCCATCCTGTTCACAACAGGCCTGAGCACCTGACCCACTCCGGGCATCCACGCTGGCACCTGCCCACCACCCTCCCCCTCCTACCCTGGCCAGCGGCACAGCAGGGACCCAGCTGGAGGTGGGGGACCGAGCCCTGCCTGTCCCCCGACTGCCCACGCGTGTAGGCCGCTCCCACGGCTCCCGCCTCACCTTGCCAGGCCATACCACTAAAGGCACAACTGCACGTGGGTCATCACTGGCAAGGAGTGACCCCCCCCCAGCCCCGCAGACACAGGAGGAAAAAGACTGAAAGCCATCCCTGCCAGCCCGTCCTCCTCACCCCGACCAGGCTACGGTCAACACGGCCGATCCCCCAGGGCGTGGAGGACTACCCGCGTGGGCCACAGCCACCTGCCATGCACTGTGGAGTTGCCTGGGGTGGGCCAGCGTGCACGTAGAAGCCAGGCATGCGCTGGGAGCCAGGAGGGGGCAGTGACCACCACCCGGACCACTACCACACAGGAGCTGGCAGGGCAGGCGGCACAGGACCAAGGAGCCACCAGCCCAACCGCACCAGTGTTCCATTGTACCGGGGGAGATGAGCGGGACACAGCCAGGCCACTCCAAGTCCCCAGCGCCCGTCCACCCCGTCCCCTCTCCCCAGCGCCCACCCACCCCGTCCCCTCTCCCCAGTGCCCGTCCACCCCATCCCCTGTCCCCAGCGCCCGATCACCCCGGCCCCCGGCCCCAGCGCCTGTGGGGGATACGGTACAGGTTGTTGTGTTTGATCCACATGAAGCGGACGCCGCCGTGGGCCAGGATGGGAGACAGCGTGCCCTCCTCCTCCCTCTCCATCAGGATGGGCATGAAGTGCTCCACCTCGGACATGTCCACGTCGCCGCGGTAGTTCCGACAGATGAGCACCTGGGGACAGGGACAAACAGGCTTGGTGTTCTCCTGCCTCCTGGCCTGGGGCCAGCATCAACCGAGGTGAGTTTCCCCACGGCCTCCTCAAACCCCTCCTGTATTAGTGCCCACAACGAGGGCCTGGCTTTGCCCACTGCCGAGCACCCACGAGTACCCACGACGGGGGCCTGACCTCGCCCACTGCCGAGCACCCACGACAGGAGCCTGGCCTTGCCCGCTGCTGAGCACCCACGTGAGTACCCATGACGGGGGCCTGACCTCGCCCACTGCCGAGCACCCACATGAGTACCCACGACGGGGGCCTGGCCTCGCCCACTGCCAAGCACCCACGTTAGCGCCCACAACAGGAGCCTGGCCTCGCCCACTGCCGAGCACCCACGACAGAAGCCTGGCCTCGCCCACTGCCGAGCACCCACGACGGGGGCCTGGCCTCGCCCACTGCCGAGCACCCACGACAGAAGCCTGGCCTCGCCCACTGCCGAGCACCCACGTTAGCGCCCACAACAGGAGCCTGGCCTCGCCCACTGCCGAGCACCCACGACAGAAGCCTGGCCTCGCCCACTGCCGAGCACCCACGACGGGGGCCTGGCCTCGCCCACTGCCGAGCACCCACGACAGAAGCCTGGCCTCGCCCACTGCCGAGCACCCACGTTAGCGCCCACAACAGGAGCCTGGCCTCGCCCACTGCCGAGCACCCACGACGGGGGCCTGGCCTCGCCCACTGCCGAGCACCCACGACGGGGGCCTGGCCTCGCCCACTGCCGAGCACCCACGTTAGCGCCCACAACAGGAGCCTGGCCTCGCCCACTGCCGAGCACCCACGACGGGGGCCTGGCCTCGCCCACTGCCGAGCACCCACGACGGGGGCCTGGCCTCGCCCACTGCCGAGCACCCACGTTAGCGCCCACAACAGGAGCCTGGCCTCGCCCACTGCCGAGCACCCACGACGGGGGCCTGGCCTCGCCCACTGCCGAGCACCCACGACGGGGGCCTGGCCTCGCCCACTGCCGAGCACCCACGACAGGAGCCTGGCCTCGCCCACTGCCGAGCACCCACGACAGAAGCCTGGCCTCGCCCACTGCCGAGCACCCACGACGGGGGCCTGGCCTCGCCCACTGCCGAGCACCCACGACGGGGGCCTGGCCTCGCCCACTGCTGAGCGCCCACGACAGAAGCCTGGCCTCGCCCACTGCCGAGCACCCACGTTAGCGCCCACGACGGGAACCTAGCCTCTCCTGCTCCCTAGCTCAGACCACACAGTTGCCCACACCTCCCGCGGATGGCCACCCAAGGGAGTCCACAGGCCGGCATCCCTGCCCCTGGGCCAGTGCTGCGCTCCCCCACGCGGGGACTGAGACACCCTGCGTCCACCACCCGCCACGGTCTCCCGGTTAAGGAGAGGGACCGATTGCAGCGGGCCTGGTTCCCCGGGGGAGAGCTGACTGCGCAGGCTCAGGATGCTTGCACCTTACGGGGCGTGCTCACAGGGACCCAAGCACTCCCTGCTAATGTGCCTGGGGGAGCTGAGGCCCCAGTCCCCTGCCGCGGCAGGGGAGAGCAGGAGGGCATGCTTGCCTCCTGGCTTGGGCCCGGCCATGGCCAGCGTGGCTCTCCGCAGAGGGAAGCAGTATGGGTGGACCTCTGCCTCGCTGTCGCCAGAACTCTGTCTTGCAAATAAACAAATCTTACCAAAAGTAAACAAATTCCTGGGTACACCGTGTGACAGCCCTCACGCACACCCAGGGAATGGAAATAAAAACACATGGGGCCGGGCCCAGTGCAATGGCTCAGATGGCTAATCCTCCTTTCGCACACACCATCCCATATGGGCACCGGTTCGAGTCCTGGCAGCTCCACTTCCCATCCAGCTCCCTGCCTGTAGCCTGGGAAAGCAGTGGAGGACGGCCCAAAGCTGCACCTGCACGGGAGACCTGGAAGAAGCTCCAGGCTCCTGGCTGTGGATCAGCTCAGTTCTGGCCGTTGTGACCACTTGGGGAGTGAACCAGCAGACAGAAGGCCTCTCTGTCTCTCCTTCTCTCTGTAAATATGACTTTTCAATAGAAACAAGTTAAAGAAAAAAAAAAAAAAAAGGCAGAAGCTTGAAGGAGCCAAGCAGGAGCCAGAGGGCCGGGCGGTTCCGGGAAGCTTACTGCTGGAGACACTGGGACCCCCTGTTGGATAAACGCGGTTTGCGCGGAGGCAAACTGGCCACACCTGGGGTCTACACGGGGTGGGCCAAAGCACAGCTGCCCCCCCCCGCCCCGTGTGGACACTGTCCTACCTGCCATGGGCTACCCTCAGCCCAGTACACCGCCCCTCCCCGGGGCCAAGTTAGGGTGCTCCTGGGGGCTCGGCCGCCCCTTCCATAGCCACTCACCGCTCTGCGAGACGCCCGTGCAGCTGTGTGGCTGGAGGCCGTGGCTGTGCGTTTGCCCCAAACACCCACACAAAACGCCCACGACAGGAAGACAGCCCAGAGGGGAGGTCTCCAGCCAGAGGGCTTTGCAATGCAGCCAGGACGGCTGCTCTGTGCCCGCGGCGGGCTCCATGCACACGAGGTGGGCTCAGTGCCCACAGGTGGAAGGGGCGAGGGAACCGGGATGGCTGCCCTGTGCCCGCGGCGGGCTCCATGCACACGAGGTGGGCTCAGTGCCCACAGGTGGAAGGGGCGAGGGAACCGGGACGGCTGCCCTGTGCCCCAGGCGGGCTCTGTGCACACAAAGCGGGCTCAGTGCCCATGAGGTGGAAGTGGCTATGGAGCCAGGATGGCTGCCCTGTGCCTGCGGCAGGCTCAGTGCCCACGACGTGGAGGGGGTGAGGGACGCCTGCCCTGTGCCCGCAGCAGGTTCAGTGTACAAGAGGCGGAGGAGGTGAGGAAGCCGGGATGGCTGCCCTGTGCCCGCGGCAGGCTCAGCGCACAGGAGGTGGAGGGCTGGGGAGCTGGACCGGGCAAGCCCACCGGTGCCCAGGGCATGCAGGGACCAAAGTGGAAGCCCGTACCTGTGCTGGGACAGGTTCCCAGCGCACACACGCCCCGCACCCCTCGGGGAAGTGTCCTCCCTGCCCCCCAGATCTGGTCGGGCAAGGAAGGCCCTCACGGCACCTGGCGTGCTGTGCGCCTCCTGGCATCCAAGGAAGCGCACCTTGAGGGCACTTTGGGAACGCACTGGCATGGCGCAGGACCCTCTCCTGCTTTGAGCAAACACCTGCGCTCCAGCACCAGCCGCGCTCCCCTCACACCGGCCCGGGAGCTGTGGCCCACACGCCCAGCTGATGCGGTCCTGGGGGGAGGCGGGTTGGTCACTCCTGAGAGGCCTGGCGAGCCCACCTTCCAAACTTATTTAGTTTTACGTGAAAGGTAGATTTTACAGACAGAGAGGAAGAATTTGTGTCCACTGGTTCACTCCCCAAGTGACCACAATGGCTGGAGCTGATTCGATTTGCAGCCATGAGCCAGGAGCCTCTTCGAGGGTCTCCCCCACGGGGGTGCAGGGTCCCAAGGCTGTGCACCGTCCTCCACTGCTTTCCCAGGCCACAGGCAGGGAGCTGGATGGGAAGTGGAGCAGCCGGGATACGAACCAGTGTCAATATGGGATCCTGGTGTGTGCAGGCCTGCTATGCCAGCACTCCTTGGTGGCTGGACCCCTGCAGGGCTCAGCTCCACCTGTCACCCTTCTGTGTCCCAGGATGAGAGCACTCGGCAAAGGTACACGGGGTGGGGACCTCAGGGCTGTCACCTAACGGGGTGGGGACCTCAGGGCTGTCACCTAACGGGGTGGGGACCTCAGGGCTGTCACCTAACGGGGTGGGGACCTCAGGGCTGTCACCTAACGGGGTGGGGACCTCAGGGCTGTCATCTAAGGGGGTGGGGACCTCAGGGCTGTCACCTAACGGGGTGGGGACCTCAGGGCTGTCACCTAACGGGGTGGGGACCTGAGGGCTGTCACCTAACGGGGTGGGGACCTCAGGGCTGTCACCTAACGGGGTGGGGACCTCAGGGCTGTCATCTAACAGGGTGGGGACCTCAGGGCTGTCACCTAACGGGGTGGGGACCTCAGGGCTGTCACCTAACGGGGTGGCGTCCCCCGGCCGGTCACCTAACGGGGTGGGCCCCCCGCCCCGCCGGTCGCCTGGCAACCAGAACCCGCTCGGTACCTTGCCCTTGAGGTCCAGCACGTACACCGCGCTGGCGGACATGGCGGCTGCGGCGAGGCCTCGGCAGCGGCCACGGGCGGCGGGAACGGCGGGGACAGCGCGGACGCTGCGGGGCGTTGGGCGAGGCCGGGCGCGCCCCGCGACGTTGCACCTCCACTTCCGGGCCGGCCGGCCACGCGCGGACCGTTATGTCCGGTGGTGCTGGTAGTGGAGGGAAGGAAAAACAGGAGCAGTCCGGGACGCGCAGGCTCGGGAGGGCGGCGCGCGTGCGCAGAGCGGCCCTGGGAGACCTTATTTCTCGCCACCCTCCTCCAGTCCCCGGAAGTGAGGCGCAGGGGGCGGGGCCCGAGCCGGACACGCCCTCGCCGCCAGGTGAAGGAGATGATGGAATGTTCTCTGGCGGCCAGAGTCCGCGGAGCCGGGGCTGGGGGGCCGGAGCCGGCCGGGGAGCGGCCAGGCCGCCGCCGTCACCCCCTCCCCGTCGCCTCCTGCACATGTCCGCCTGACCACGTGGCCGGGGGACAGCGCTCCTGCTCTGCGTTCGCCAGCTTCGACAGAATCCAGAGCGGGAACACACCACTACTGTCCCCCAACACCTCCCGGCGTCCCAAGGCGCGACAGCGCCCTGCAGTGCCCCCCAAACCTCCTGTCCTACAGTGTTCCCCACCCCTCCGTCCCTCCAAGCCTTGCCAGCACCCTGCAGTGTCCCCCACCCCTCAGTGTCCCCCCAAACCTCCTATATCCCCAAACCCTAACTGTCCTGCAGTGTCCCCCACCCCTCCTGTCCCCCCAAACCTTGCCAGCACCCTGCAGTGTCCCCCCAAACCTCCAATATCCCCAAACCCTGACAGCGCCCTGTTGTGTCCCCCAAACCTCCTGTCCCCCAAACCCTGACAGCACCCTGTTGTGTCCCCCAAACCCTGACTGTCCTGCAGTGTCCCCCACCCCTCCCGTCCCCCCAAACCCTGCCAGTGTCCTACACTGTCCCCCAAACCCTGCCAGCGTCCTGCACTGTCCCCCAAACCCTGTCCTGCAGGTCCCCCACCCCTCCCGTCCCCCCAAACCCTGCCAGCGTCCTGCGGGGTCCCCGACCCTCCATGATCAGGAGGACCCCACAGCAGAGGGGCAGAGCTTCAAGCAGTTCCTGGAAGAATGGATTCCCAAGACAGGTTTGTTCTGGTGCAAATTTCATTTCTTAAAAATGTGATGGAGACTGTGTGATATGAAAAAAAAAAATCGTACGTGGATCTCATAAATGTTTGGCACGTAAATACAACTTGTAAAACGACTTATGGGGCCTGGCACGATAGCATAGTGGTTAAAGTCCCTCTGGGGCCGGCGCTGTAGCGTAGTGGTTAAGGTCCTCTCCTTGGGCGTGCCAGGATCCCATATGGGCACTGGTTAGTACCCCCGCTGCTCCACTTCCCATCCAGCTCCCTGCCTGTGGCCTGGGAAAGCAGTGGAGGACGGCCCACAGCCTTGGGACCCTGCACCCGCAGGGGAGACCCGGAAGAGGCTCCTGGCTTCAGGTCGGCTCAGCTCTGGCTGTTGCAGCCACTTGGGGAGTGAACCGGTGGACGGAAGATCTTCCTCTCTGTCTCTCCAACTCTCTGTATATCTGCCTTTCCAATAATAAATAAATCTTTTTTTAAAAAAAGACTTATGCATTTTTACTGGAAATGCAGATTTAGAGAGGAGAGAGGCAGATCCTCTCCAGGCAGGGAGCTGGATGGGAAGTGGGGCCACAGGGATTAGAACCAGTGCCCATATGGGATCCACATTAGACACTAGGCTACCAGGCTGGGCCCGTGCAGGCGGGCACTCCTGCTGCTGCGTCCTGAGAGCAGTGGCCGCCACACAGCCATCAGACGCCCAGACTTGTACCCTACCGCAGGTGGGCACTGCTGTTCTTGTCCCCGCACTGAGACCAGTGCCCGCCACTCGCCCCCCTCCACCCGCCATCAGTCAGACACTGAGCTGTACTTAACGCCCTCCTTTGCTTTATTGTGCGGCTTCCGGGGTGGCCACCTCGCAGGGCCTGGCTCGCGCCCAGCACTGTGGTGGCTGATGCTGCTCAGGGCATGCCCGCTCCAGCCAGGGCCTTCCCCGGGGTGTCCCGAGGCACGGAATGCCCACCGGGCCCACTCTGATCCCTGCGCAGGGCACACTGTGGCGTCTGGCTCTCCGGGGGGAGGGTGGGTGACTGACGTCGGGCCTGGCAGGAGGAAGCGGGCTGGCCGGGGAACTCGGGCCGAGAGAGGGGCAGGTGGTGGCCCTGGTGCCCAGGTGGCTCGCTGGGCTGGGGCAGAGCGAGCAGCTGGAAGGCCCTGGAAGAGGCAGAGCCACAGGGAGCCCGGAAGGCCGGGCATGTGCCGTGGGAGGCCCCGTCACGTCGGGCGCGGTGGATCACCCCAAGGGAAACAGACCCCTGTTGCCCCCACACCGGGCGCGTTCCGGTCCAAACTACAGCGGCTTGGTCCCGTCCTCCGCGTGGGACCAGACCCCATAATCACACAGGCGCAGGCTCATCTTTAATGCAGAGCCAGGATGAGGGGGCGCGACGGGGGCACGGCCGACAGGATGGGCACGGCCGACAGGACGAGCCCAGCCGGCGGCTACTTGGTCCAGCTGACTTTGGGTATGTCGTAGTGCTCCGTGAGCGTGTCCAGGTGCCTGTTGAAGTCCTGGGGGCCAAGGAGAAAGCTGGCATTGGCACACAGCCTCTTCCCACCTCTAGCTGCACCCCACCAGGCCTCGGATGCCGGCTCCTCCCGCAGGGCCCCTCCCTGGACACCCCCCGGCCCCCACCCGGCCGCACCTCCACTCTCTGCTTGTGGGTCTTCGATGCCTTCTTCAGGATCCGTTCCATTTGCTGCAGGCAGAGCAGAGGCGGTGTCAGAGCCAGGCCGCGCCAGGTGCGCCCTGGCCCAGCAGGAAGGGCATAGCTCGGGCCGCGAACTGCCCCTCTCGCTCAGTCAGATGCCACACGGAGCACCTCCCCTGGGCCTGCGTCCTTGCCAGGTCTCCTCCAGCCCCACTGCACCCCCGGCACCTGCAGCCCAGCCTCCCCCGACCCCACTGCACCCCGACACCTGCAGGAAGGGCCTCCCCCAACCCCACTGTACCCTGACACCTGCACCCGGCCTCCCCCAACCCCTCTGTACCCTGACACCTGCAGCCCGGCCTCCCCTGGCCCCTCTGTACCCTGACACCTGCAGCCCGGCCTCCCCTGGCCCCTCCCAGGTCTCCCCCGACCCCACTGCACCCCGGCACCTGCAGCCCAGCCTCCCCCGACCCCACTGCACCCCAGCACCTGCAGGCCAGCATCCCCTGGCCCCACTGCACCCCGGCACCTGCAGCCCAGCCTCCCCCGACCCCACTGCACCCCAGCACCTGCAGCCCGGCCTCCCCCGACCCCACTGCACCCCGGCACCTGCAGGAAGGGCCTCCCCTGGCCCCACTGCACCCCAGCACCTGCAGCCCGGCCTCCCCCGACCTCTCTCCGCCCGCCTTCCTCGCGGGCCCCGCCTCACCCGCTTCTCCTGCATCTTCTCGAAGGCCGCCTGCGCCGGCGTCCGCTTGTCCAGGCAGCGCCGCTTCTCCTCCTCGTTTTTCTTGCTCGTCCCCATGGCTTCTAGAAGCTTCGCCTTGTCTTTGTCTTTCTTCTTCTTCTTCCTGGGAGGGGACACGGGAGGGCGCAGGGTAAGGAGCCGCCGCCGGGGGAGCCGGGGCCGGCGGGCGAGGACCCGGCACGCGCTCGGCGCTCACCGCTTGGTCACGCCGAGCTCCGCGACGCCCTTCAGCTTCAGGGGTCCCTTCTGGACCTGCTCGTAGGCCTCCATGGCACCGGGAAGCGGGACGGACGCCGGAATGCCACACTTCCTGTTTGTAAACCGTATTTCCGCCCCGGATGCAGGCTTCCTTCGTTCTGATTGGGAGGACGGGGATTCACGCATGCGCTCTTTCGTGGCTATGGGCGGGCCATTTCCGGTCTGGGCGGGGCGAAGAGGCCGGTGCGTAGGCGTCCTAGACGTCGCCTTTCACGCCACACTTCCGCCTTTAGCGCTTACTGCTGTTTCGGAGACTTGAGAGCGCGGGTTCAAATCCCATCTTTGCTACGTTGCTTTTGCAGTCCTGTGTGTCCCGCTCTCACTTATTGCCGACTTTCAAACCTTTGTATTTTTAAAAACATATTTATTTTTAAGCTTTATTTATTTTATTGGAAACACAGACTTACAGTGAGGAGAGACAGAAAGATCTTTCAAATGCTGGTTCACTCCCCAAGCAGCTGCAATGGCTGGAGCTGATCCGATCCCAAGCCAGGAGCCAGGAGCCTCTTCCGGGTCTCCCACGCGGGTGCAGGGTCCCAAGGGTCTGGGCCGTCCTCCACTGCTTTCCCAGGCCACAGGCAGGGAGCTGGATGGGAAGTGGAGCAGCCGGGACTCGAACTGGCACCCCTGTGGGATCCTGGCACATTCAAGGCAAGGACTTCAGCTACTAGGCTACTGAGCTGGACCCCCATGTGCTTTATTTTTAAAGTTTAATCATTTTTAGATGAACGAACACTGTAGCACCACACTTGAATAAGAGCGGGACACGGGATCAGAGGATAAGTTAGGGGCACGTTTGCGTGGCCCTGCAGTGGAGGTGCCCGTTAGGGGCCAGGTCAGCCCCACACCGCTCTCTGTCACAGCTCCCTGCGACCCTGGCCTGGAAGGCAGCTGCCGAGAGCTCAGGCTGGGGCTCTGCCCCACACAGAGAACTCTGTGCCCCCACGGCCACTCTCACCTTCACACACCTGTGTAGCCACAATCAAGATCTAGAATATTCTATCACCCCTTACAATTCTGTTTCCTTCTCCACTTAAGCCCCTCACCCTCATCCTGAGGCAACACCTGAACTATATACTCCATATTGGGCCCGATGTGGTAGCCTAGTGGCTAAGTCCTTGCCTTGAATGTGCCTGTATTCCATATGGGCACAGGTTCATGTCCTGGCTGCCCCACTTCCCACCCGGCTCCCTGCCTGTGGCCTGGGAAAGCAGTGGAGGACGGCCCAAAGCCTTGGGACCCTGCACCTGCGTGGGAGACCCGGAAGAGGTTCCTGGCTCCTGGTTTCAGATCGGCACAGCTCCAGCTGCTGTGGCCCCTTGGGGAGTGAAGCAGTGGATAGAAGATCTTTGTCTTTTCTCTGTAAATCTGCCTTTCCAATACAAAGAAAGAACTCTTTAAAAGGAACCACCCGAAGCATTCCTGGAGCTCAGCGTGCTCGGGCTTCCTGCTCTCGCGGGGTGTAACCCAGTCCTCATTTCGCTGGCTGGGTTTGCTTCCCTGTGTGACCACAGCCAAGCCGCCTGGCCCCGAGCGGTCCCTGGGCCGTGTCCGGCGCGCAGCACTGCCGAGCTGCCCGTGGGAGTCCTCTGTCCGCGGGCCCGGCTTCCGAGGCCTCCGCTGCCCGAGGAGGTTTCCCTGGAATTGCCTCTCTGGCTCCAAGGCTGCGAGAAACAAGCCAGGGAGACATGGTCGGCCATGGCCGCACAATGGAGATGCCAACACTTGAGCTTCTTTTCTTCTTAAGATTTTTTTAAAAAAGATTTGTTTATTTTTATCAGAAAGGCAGATTTTACAAAGAGAAGGAAAGAAAGATCTTCCACCACTGGTTCACTCCGCACGGGGCCGCAACAGCCGGAGCTGAGTTGATCTGAAGCCAGGAAACAGGAGCCTCTTTTGGGTCTCCCACGTGGGTGCAGGGTCCCAAGGTTTTGGGGCATCCCCCGCTATCTCCCCAGAGCGGTGCGTGCTCTGTTCTTTCCCGCACGTGGCTCTCTCGCTCAGCAGTGTACACGGGAGCCCAGTGTATAACCAACGTGCACCTGCCCCTCACCTCCGTCCTCCATGACAACCGGTGCCCTGTCAGTGAGAGGGCACGCCTTATGGTTACCACGGTAACGGGAGGAGGGCCGAGTTGGCCTCCGACCACACCGGGCACGGCGGGCAGAATTCTGGTGAAACCACCATTGCACCAATGAGGGGCACAAACCCACATTCCCCCCACCAAATAAAGCCCGTCTAAATTCTTCTATGTTCAGCTGAGCTATTCTTTCGCTAGTGGCGGGTGCAGCCAACAACACCCACACACCTTCACCAGCTTGGCCAGCGGCCTGGCTCCAAGGCAGCCAAGCTGCTGGGTGCTGGGCTGGGAACGTTCCAGCCTCGGACCTCAGGCAGCCATTGCCCCGGGTTCTCCCGGGAGAGAGAGAGGGGGCGTGATGAGGGAGGTAGAAGCCGGACCCCGCTGCCCAGCTACAGGACTCAGGATGCGAGCAGGACAGCAGCAGGACACCAGCAGGAGGCCAGCAGGCCACCTTGCTCCGTCGCGCCAGCAGGGGGCAGCATGCCAGCGCCTTGTTCTGCACCCACGCAATTGCCTCTTGCAGAGTCCTGCTGGCTCAGGGAGCAGTCAGGGCTTCCCAGGGAAAACGCAGGGCTCCCTCCTGGTGGCTCAGAGTCAGAGAGGGATGGGGCAGCTCAAGGGGCAAGCCCGCACCCCCAGGCCCTCCTTAGTCACGGTCAGTGAGGTGCGGCTGTGTGACAGGGTGATAGGTGGCTGGGAGGGGCTGCTGCCGTGGCGCCACACAGTCAACATCTGCTGGCCAGGCCGTGTCGCACACAGGAGGAAGCGGTGACAACTGAGGTGGTCCTCACCTCACGCACACGAATTTCCGCGAGGGCAGAAGTCTGAGTGGAGCAAGATGCGTTTAAATGGAAAACCTCCTGAGTCCGGAAGATGCGTCGAAGGGGGACTTGCGAGCACAGTGCAGGGGGACAGACAACAGGCCAGGATTAGCCAGAGATCCGGGGTGGGCACCCTGCTCCTGGTCAGACACGAAGAATAAAAAACAAGCAAAACAAAACAAACCTCCAGAAGGGCGAGGAGAATGGGGGAGAGAGAGACAAAGAGAGAGGAAGGGAGGTGGAGGGGGAGAGAGAGAGAGAGGCGGAGAGGGAGAGTGGAGGGGGAGAGAGAGAGGGAGAGAGAAGGAGAGAAAAAAAGAAGGGGGGAGAGAGAAAACAGAACTTGTGTCTTTTTAAAGGGGCAGAGGCGGCGCCGTGGCTCACGTGGCTAATCCTTCCCTTGCAAGTGCTGGGATCCCACATGGGCACCAGTTCTAATCCCAGCTGATCCACTTCCCACCCAGCTCCCTGCCTGTGGCCTGGGAAAGCAGTGGAGGACGGCCCAGAGCCTTGGGACCCTGCACCCGCGTGGGAGACCCGGAAGAGGTTCCTGGCTCCTGGCTTCAGATCGGATCAGCTCAGCTCCGGCCGTTGTGGCCCCTTGGGGAGTGAATGAGCAGACAGATCCTTCTCTCTGTCTCTCTTTCTGTAAATCTGTCTTTCCAATAAAAAGAAATAAATCTTTCAAAGATGTTTATTAACTCCCTGCTGGGACGTAGCTCCTGCCCTGGACGTGTGATTCAGTCCTGGGAGTTGGTGAGGCCGGGCGAGGCAGCTCCACCCGTTAGCAAGTATGTGGGCTGGTTCTGGAGAGGTGTGGACCAGGTAGTGCCGGGCCAAACCTTAGTTCACTGGCATGTGCAGGAGCCAGGCTGGAGTGTGGGTCACTCAGGCTAGGGTATCACGCTTACCAGTTTTGTTTGTTGCGTGAGCCAGGGATGGGAGCAGACTGGGCAGAGCTAGGCTGCAGCGCCTGCCAGGGAGGGTCAGGACTGGGAGGTGAACCGGGCCAAGCCAGGCTGCAGCATCCGATGGCAATGGCCAAAACAGGGTATGGGCATGAGCAGGGTCAGGGCAAGCCTGGCACACACAAGATCTGTGGCTGGGAACAGGTCTGGTAGGAAAGTTAAGGAGACAGCCAACTATGTTGTGGATCCCACTGGTGATTGTGAGAGCCAGAACTGGGGCACTGCTCTGGGCTGGATATGCCTGCTGTGTCCCTCGGCATGAGTATGGACTGGGTCCTGGGGCGCCAGACTGGGCTCGACTCCAGCACACACAGGTGCTTGTGAGAGCCAAAGTGGGTGTGGCACAGGCTGGGCTAGGTCTCGGCTCCCATTGGGTCAAGTGAGAGCTGTGTCAGGGCGTGGGCCTGCTGTGGCTGGGCTATAACACGCAACAGTGTTACGATGGGTGTGGGCTGGTTGGGCAGGGACACTGTTCTTGCCAGGACAAGAAGTGGACCAAGTCCGTCTGGGCTGAGGACCCGCTGGTGTGTGCGAGATCTGCCACTGGGAAGAGACCTGGTGGAGGAGCTAGGGGGACTGCTCTGTCAGGATGCAGTCCCGAGTGCAAGCACCACGGCTGGGAGCGGCCCAGTCCAGGCCAGGTGACAGTACCTGTCAGTAGCATGTGGCTCAGGTCTGCGGGCGGGCCGGGTTAGGCCAATCCATAGCACCCACTGGCAGATCTGAGAACCAGGATGGGATGTGTGACAGGCCAGTTCAGACGCCAACACCGGAGAGTTCACGGAGCTGGGACTGGGGGGTGGCGAGGCTGTGCTAAGCTGCAGCACCCACCAGCATGAGCTGGAACTGGGGGCAGGCCGGGCCAAGCCAGGCTGCAGCATCCGCTGGCAAATGTTGAAGTGAGGAGGCGGGTCTTGCCAGCCTGGGCTGCAGCACCCACCAGCACAGGTGAGACCTGGGTGGGGGGCACAAGAACCAGGGCTGGGGACAGGCCTGGCTGGACAGGTGATGGCACAGCACACGCTCGCATGAATGTGGAGTGAACAGTGCGGTTGGGTGGGTTGAACTGGGCTCCAACGCCCATTGATGTGTATGAGAGCAGAATGGGGTACGGGACTGGACCAGTCAGCTGCACACTGGAAAGCATAGGAACCAGGGCTGGGGCCCTGTGTGGGTTACCGGGGGTCGCTCTGACTAGGC